CTTTACTAGTTATTTTTATCGTTACTTTATTTCTAACTACGTAAAAGTTTAGTTGTAAATATAGCTCTAGAAAACAGAAATGAAATATTAACGATCTGATTAACTGTCTAAATCACGCGATCCCAACGGCTTTTTTTTATTGTATTCACAGTTCACACGTACACATAAATTAACTTTCTATATACAACATGTGGTGATGAGATCACGTGAGATTCTACGCCAATAAATATTGTGGAATAAAGATTATATAATAATCTTTACAGTATATTTAATTTCTTAAAATAAAATTTTGTCTGTATCATATCTCACAAATTAAATATATGTTTGTAATGCAGATTATAAACAATATTATTTTTTTATTATAATATAATTTTACCCTTAAAGTATTCACGATGAGTCATTCGTATCTTGTTTGTTTCCTTCGAAATACTGCACATGAATAAATAATTCTTTTTATTCTTTCCTTCTTTTTAAATATACAACTTCAGAAATGTTTTTTAAAGATGTAACTTTGTTTCTAAAATTTTTATTTATGCGCAAAAGTGCTCGTCGAGGCAATCAAGCTGAACGCAATAATACATGTAGGTAATCGAACTGTAGGCAAAAGTGATGTAGGCAAACGATAGGCAATCGATTTATAAGCAAATTATCTAAAAAATTATGACAAGATTACATACTATGTAGAAAAAATTCTGTTTAAACACAATCGTATTGATGTGATAGTATAAACACGAAAAAAAGTATATAATATAATAGAGAAAAACGAATCAGCTTTAAATTAAAAATTATCGCAAGAATAATCGTCTGATTTAAAATTGAATTTTTACGAATGCTTAGAAATATTTAATATTATCAAAAACTTACATAGATTAACGTTATAAATTTATTAATATTTAAAAGATTTTTAAGTCTATATGTTTATACAGATACGACTTTAGATGAATAAACTTGAAGTAATATAAAGTTCTTTTTGGCATAAAAGGAATATTTCATGTAACTGCGAACCGTGCATAAAATGTATGTTCTCATTATTTTAAAAGAAGTTTGCTAAAGCGGCAGAAGTTAATTTAATGCTAAAATGTTTTTACATAATCCATAAGGACTCCAAATGATGATAATAATGTTGACATTAGTGATTATATAATATTGACATTGATAACTATACTACAATGCAACTATGCAGGACTATTATTTTGAGAGAAAATGAATAAATTCGCGCTATAATTAACTAGCAGTTAATTTTTAAATCTAAGTTAATATCTACTTCTTTTCTTCATCAGGTTTTCTCAATTTATCCATATTGGCTTATATTTCACGATTTACAAATATTTTCTTTAGAAAACTTTCGGTTCAATCTTCTTAATATTTTTTTTTTCAAGACATTTGTGTATGAAAATTTTTTTAAATTTATATACTTTAGTATTCTTTATTAAAACGTTTCACGCATACATCATTCATAAATTGATAATTTAAGATAAATTGAATTGATAATTTAAATCTATTTTATTTTCGATATCTGTCCAATTGTTTTGAATTAAAATTAATTCGTGTAATCTAATTGACGTTGTGCTTTATAATTCTTACGAAGTAGCACTGAGCATGCAGCGATGGTCCCGCCAATATCTTTCTCGCAAACATCACGTCTGCAAAACATTATTAAATATTAAATTTGTGAACATTATAAACGCGTGATAAAGAACATAAAGTCGATAATTTAGCTCTGTTTCAGTCGACACGGATCCTGCGATAGAAATGCCAATTGTTACGCTATTATTGTTAGAATGATATTCACTGAAATATTTATCATCTGTATATATGACATGATATATATACA